CGGCCACATGTCGAGCTCGTCTCTGCTGCTACCGTCAGACGTCGTCCCCCCCCGGCCACGCCATCCATCCGCCAAGATCGCATCGCGCCGTCTCTCCGCCGCCGCACCCGAGCCCACCCTCCATTGCCGACCGCATCCCGCCCGGCATCATCGTCTCTGTGCCATCGTCGAGCCCTGCCCGGCGGCCGTCGAGCTCGTCTGCCACGCCACGCCGTCGTCGTCCCTCGCCCGACCGCGCCCCAATCCGCCCGCATCGATCTCGCCGTCTCCGCCGTACGTCATCCTCGCGCGAGGTGCTCAGCTCGGCCCCATGGCTGGCCAGCACGCCCTGCCCGGCCCACCATCATCCGCCCTAGCTAGCTTATTTAGATAGTTTTTTAGATAGTTTTTAGATAGTTTTTTAGATAGTTTTTTTGGATAGTTTTTTAGATAGTTATTTAAATGTATGTTAAATTTAATTACTAGTTTATTTAGATAGTTTTTTAGATAGCTTTTGATATATATGTTAGATTAAAATGTATTAAAATTTAATTAGTAGTTTATTGTTAGTTTTTTAGTTAGTTTTTTAAATAGTTTTTGATATATGTTAGATTTAGATGTATTAAAATTTAATTAGTACTTTATTAAGATAGTTTTTAGATAGTTTTTTATTATAGTTTTTTATATATGTTAGATTAAAATGTATTATCTGTTACTAGTTTATCTAATTTCATGTTAGATTTATTTAATTGGATTTAGTAATTATATATTTTAGTAATTCTATCTATATATCACTTGGATATTTTATTAGTAATTCTATCTATATCGCATGCATATCTAGAGAGAGATTCTATATGTATACATATGTACTTAATTATTTCTATGTGTATATATACATGTACTTATTTCCATGTGTTGAGAGAGAAAATTGTATCTAGAGAGACATTCTATGTGTTATCACATGCATATCTAGAGATATATAGATATGCACTTATTTCTATGTGTTGAGAGAGAGAGAGAGAAAATTGTATCATTCTATGTGTATATATACATGTACTTATTTCCATGTTTTTGGATCGAAAGTGTTTTTGATTCGATTCCAAAGCCTATCGACCAAACAACTCTGGAGAAGTGTCGGTTCAAGACCTTAATGCTTTTTTTGAAGATACTAGTTTAACCTTGGATCAATTGACGAGCAAAGCTCCAATCCAGAACCTGAAAGTTGATACCTGGAAGACATATAAATTTGGTAAAAGTTTGTACAACCATGCGGCTCTGAATGAATTGGGTACGTAAATGTACTTGCTCAACAAGTGGTACATGCAAGCGTGTGGCAGGGGTGAGGAGTGGATCTTTGTTAGATTTAGATACCATCATTACTTCCGTGGCGATGACATCTTACATATTAGTTTCAAAGAATTGCATCAACTATACCACATGGACGCTCTGGACAAATCAATCATTAGCTCCTTTTGTTTGTAAGTGATTCTTACTTTTATTTAATAAACTCACTTCCATGCGTATGTGTATATAATTATCCTCACATGTAACTTATATTTATATACAGATTCCAGATGTCAGAGCTCCAAAGAATACAAGACACCAGTGTTGGCTTCATTGATCCTTATATCGTATTCAAAACCGGTATTATTGCCAAGGAGCGGTGGGTATCTGAAGCACAGAAGAATATCATGAGGTTAGCAGCACGACAAGACAACAATATTTTTCCCGTACAGCTTTGAGTAAGTGTTAATAATAATGTAGTCTACACATTTTATGTAATATCAATACAACTTATATGCATGTACGTGTGTGTATAAATCAATGCAGGTTTCACTGGATACTCATTGTCATTGAGTTAAACTCAAGTCGGATAGTAATCTTGGACTCGTTGAGAAAAGAGCAGGCACTATACCAAGATATGATAGACATTATCTAGGGGTAATTTCGATCTCTCGCGCACAACTATTATTGAATAGACTTTGCCATAATTTATTAACGATTGTACATTATTGGTCGCACAGGGTTTGGAAAGAGTTTATTCGGCAACACCGCAAGGATTGCAAGGCACCACTTAATGTAGTTGAAATACCAGTAAGTTGTACTATATATACTTCCCCACGTGTTTAATTACTATATCGTACTTCAATTTACGTGTGAGATGATAAGAATAATCTTCTTCTCGTACAGTGGTGTTTATGGCAGAAACCAGGTAATAACTTGTGTGGATACTACATTTGTGAATTTATCACTGCGCACATAAGAAGAACTCTTAAAGATGTCATCAGAGTACGTATATATCAATTTTTTATTTATTTTTAAATGAATATATATATATGTATTAATACTTTTTCTTTTATTTCAAATGCAAGACTGAATGGTTGAAACAAAGGGTCATGCAAAAAGACCATCTGAAAGCAGTTTAAGAGTCAATAGCAGGATTTTTTCTAGAAAAAATGCTAAATCCCAACGACGAGTTCTACTTTGATCCTAAGGAATAAATGATGTAAATTAAATGTTTATTGATATCGTTATTTTCGAGAATAAGATTATGAAAGTGTTGTATATATACATATATATATCTATAATATATATAGTTTCATACTTTATTCGAATATAATAATGCTCGAGATGAGAATTAGATGTAACTATATGCGTGCGTGTATTTATATTAGCAGCGTAGAATACGTATATAAAAACATATTATATATTAAACAAATATGTGTAACTGAACTGAAAACAAATTAAACAAAAAAAAGAAAAAAAAAGGAACCTTTAGTCCCGATTGGGGTTACCAACAGAGACTAAAGGGTGCAGCCACGTTTGCTCGGCTGGAGGGCCTTTAGTCCCGGTTGGTAAATCTTGGACTCATTGAGAAAAGAGCGGGCACTATACCAAGATATGATAGACATTATCCAGGGGTAATTTCAATCTCTCGCGCAAAACTATTATTGAATAGACTTTGCCATAATTTATTAACGATCGTACATTATTGGTCGCACAGGGTTTGGAAAGAGTTTATTCGGCAACACCGCAAGGATTACAAGGCACCACTTAATGTAGTTGAAATACCAGTAAGTTGTACTATATATACTTTCCCACGTGTTTAATTACTATATCGTACTTCAATTTACGTGTGAGATGATGAGAATAATCTTTTTCTCAATGCAGTGTGGTGTTTCTGCGTAGAAACCGTAATAACTTGTGTGGATACTACGTTTGTGAATTTATCATCACAAGCACATAAGAAGAACTCCTAAAGATGTCCTCGAGAGTACGTATATATCAATTTTTTATTTATTTTTAAATGAATATATATATATATATATTAATACTTTTTCTTTTATTTCAAATGCAAGACTGAATGGTTGAAATAAAGGGTTATGCAAAAAGACCATCTGAAAGCAGTTCAAGAGTCAATAGCAAGATTTCTTCTAGAAAAAGTGCTAAATCCCAATGATGAGTTCTACTTTGATCCTAAGGATCGTTATTTTCGAGAACAAGATTATGAAAGTGTTGTATATATACATATATATCTATAATATATATAGTTTCATACTTTATTCGAATATAATAATGCTCGAGATGAGAATTAGATGTAATTATATGCGTGCGTGTATTTATATTAGCAGCGTAGAATACGTACATAAAAACATATTATATATTAAACAAATATGTGTAACTCAACTGAAAACAAATTAAACAAAAAAAATAAAAAGAAAATGAACCTTTAGTCCCGGTTGGGGTTATCAACCAGGACTAATGGGTGCGGCCACGTTTGCTCGGCTGGAGGGCCTTTAGTCCCGGTTGGTAGTAACACCAACCGGGACTAAAGGTCCCTCTTTAGTCCGGGGATCGTTGTCCCAGCGCGGTAACCGGGACTAAAGGCCGTTACCGCCCGGGACAACAAGGTCATCCTGTAGTAGTGGATACAAATCTGGTTTAATCTTTAAACATTCATAACTAAATTATGTTAAATTAGAAAATACGAAATTATTACATGTTATCTAAGATGTTATTATCTGTTAATTTATGATCGATTTAGAGTTATCTAAAACTTATTTATTTATGTTCCTATTGCTTTTATCGTTCCTAGCCATGCTCATTATATATTTAAACAAAATAATAGCCGTGTTTATTATTTATAGATGTAGCCGTGTTTATTATTTGTATAAACAAAATAAGATCAAAATAGCTCCAAATAGAGCAACAACAGATAGATAATATTTTTAGAAAAATAGCAATAGTTTCATTTTCAAAATTTAAAATCTTATTTATGAATTTTAGAGATTAGACAAAAAATTATTATTTTTAGAAAATAGAAAATCATCTTTGAACCACGCAAAGGACCAAATTTGTCCAGTTTTGACACTTTAAGGGCGTCTGGTGGACTATTTCATAGTTTAGGATTCAAAACCGGATTGTTGTGAGATGTTAAAAAGTTATATTTTGCCCTTAAGAAACTAGCTACTATTGTAGAATACAGTGTTTACTTTTACATTTATTAGCAGGTTTTTGGTTCAGATGGTAGTGATAAATTAGGAAAAGGCACGGGTCTTTACTGCCATCTTTTATAACAGAGACAAAAGTTTGTGCAAGTCACATTTTTCATTTTTGTTTCGAGACCCTGTAGTTGTAGCATAATGGAAGGAATGGATTTATCAATTACAAAACTAGTATTTATACCGTTGGCTTTTTACGGTCTAACGCCTTCAAATGAAAATTTATGCTACCAGAATTGACCGGTAACCTGATGGTTTATATTAACCAAAAGTACTATCTCCGTTCGCTCAAAAAAAAAGTACTATCTCCGTTTCCAATTATAAATCATTACGACCCTTTTAGTTACATAGCATTTTCTATACACCTTATATCTTGGTGTATAGTAAAATCTATCCAGAAAAATCAAAATGATTTTTAATTTCAAACGAGCAAGATCAGCGAATTTCCTAGGTCGGTGAAAACTTGCTCAAATTTGTCTTTTTTTCCCGGTATGTCTTTCTTACCGGTTAGCAGCAAACATGGTGAGGGCTTTTCATGCTTGTTTGCCGGAGCATACACGCAAGCAAGCAACAGAAAGTCTGAAACAATGCAAACAAAGGTGTCAGCGGGTTGGTCGCAAGCTTCACCTCAACACTTGTCCCACAGCCTCTCCCCGCAAACAGGCCCAAACATTCCAACAAGAGGGTCAGTTACACCACCCCAAAGAAAACAAAACCTTCCGTCGATTCCGCACAGGCAGCACTCGCTCCTGTAAGTCTGTAACCACCGTTCCTACCACTGGTTTCCATCGGCGAGATAGAGCCACGCACAAGGCTCCAAGCAGTTGCGTAGTACCATGAACTCGGTCGGAAGCCATGGCTGATGAGGGACGGACGTTCCTCTGCAGCTCTGATTGCCAGTGCATGCGTGAAAGCGACAGTAAACCATGCCGTCATAACTACGAGTAGCACAGTACAGTACAGTACTTACCATCGCTGCAACCAACCAACATATGTCTGCAGAAAATGGTGTGGTTCCGGCACTGATCTATACGAGTGTTTGGCGCCGAACAGGTGCTATTTGGGGCAGCAACGTTAACTGGTGCCCTGAATAAGAGTTGGCCGATGTCAGGGATCATTGAACGATGCTGCCAACCATTTGCTCTTCTTTGCATTGCAGGGCATAAGCATGTGCATGATGCCTGTTTGTAGATTTGGCAGTTTTGGGCTTTTGGCAATGCCTTGTCAGGGAATGCGTGGTTTCAGAATTGACAACACAATAATTGATCTCCTCATTCGTGATCTTGCAGGTAAGTAGTTGTTGGCAACTGGGGCAGTTTGGAGAATTTTTTTTACTGTAGGGTTTTATCTTCTTTTCTCACCTACGGCGTACGGGCAAAGCCCTTTTTATACCATCTTATAAAAGAAAAGATTTTCAATCAGGTAGTTTCTCTTTGGTCAGCCCATTTGCTCTGGCCCTCGTCCACATTTTCGTAACCAAACTCATTTGCCCAGCCAATTTTGATTCTGCCTTTATTCAGTCAACGAGCCATGTTCTTCAAATCAAATCTGAAAACGCCGGGTACCTGAATTTCTAGATTGGTACCAAACTACCAATTACTGAGCATGTATATATTCTAAGAGCAACTCCAGCAGTTTAAGGTAGTCTGTTTTAGGTAATACTGGTGGAGTGCTCTAACATATGACCCACAAACAAATATGGAAACCGATCATCAGTTTAGAGCGTGTCTTCTCATCTTCAGGAAATAGCTGTGTTCCGAACCTGGAATTCTTTTTGCATCGTTATATGCCTTTTTGACCAGATAGTTCACTTTCTATCTACAAATAAAGAGACTCAGAACCGAGTATCACCGAAACACAAATTACATTACCAGAAGAAACATATTGTGCAAGCGCGCAGCTTACTGCTCAGGCCTGCGGTTCCTAGCTTGAGCTAATTTTATTTTGACGGGTGAATCCACCCCGACCACCCAACCCACGGCCATGCCAGGGGTTTGATCCCCTGATTATTTTGACCTCATTTGGCAGTTGTTTGGAGAGCTAGATTGACATAGAGAATATGTGCACGCATGCTCTGGTTACAATCGCGCGCAATGTAAATTACTAAATTTTATGAAAAAATGCATTCTCCTATCTGATCATAGCATGAGCCATGTTTGGATCTATAGGACTAACAACTACTTGACTAATATTTAATCCCTAAGTATCCAAACAAGCACACTAATTGTTACTTTTGTTAATTAGTCCACTAATTATGAACTAGTTAATACATTAGTCCACAGATAGAAGCTAATAGGATTACTTGTTAGCCTTAGTCCATGGAAACAGACTCATAGGACACTATTTTTTAGATAAAGGATATAAAATCCAGCCTTTATATCCTCTTGAGATATACACAATCAAAAGTTACATGAGCTCTTAGGCTCAAAGCCTCAAAATAGAGGAGCAAAAACAACAAGAGAGCTTAAGGACTAAAAAAAGCTACAAAAACTAAGCTTTAGGACTTCTTCGTTATCTTTGCTTTTGACTTGTCTTGATCTCGCGTATAAGCAACTCTCCACCTCATACGTCTTCAAGCGGCTACATTCATCTAGTGAAGATAGCACCCATCGTAGGAGTAACTCTCCACCATCATATAGATGTCCGCTAGCGTCTAAGACCTCTTGGACCTCATGCTCATCTAGCGGGTAGGGATGTGGGAGAAGCCACCACACCGAGTCCCATCGGCTGAGTGTAGAGCGCAGCGTGCAGATGCAGAAGGTGCAAAATGGCAAGGAACATGACAACGCTTCTTTTTCATTTCTCGTTGAGAGACTGTATTCCCTCCACAATCCCAAGTCTTGTGTAACCTCCTCTTCCTTTCTTAGACCCTCTCTGGTGGAACTTCGATTGGCTTTAGTTTATTGGTACAGTAGCAAGTGAAACAAAAAATAGTGACTTCATCAGTTTCTAGTTATTAGGGAGGAGAAGTGAGAAAAAGAGATCATGTTTGCTGTCTTTCACTTCTGCAAAGTATTGTAGTGACATGAACAGTGCACCATTAGGTGAAGACGAGGCCCCTAAAAACTGAGCCAAAGAGGACTTTAGGTACGACTTCTGCCGCTATTTTGCAAAGAAAAAACAAAAAGAAAGAAAAAATACTTTGCAGGTATCAGATTATCTCTTTTTTTTCTCAAACATGTAGTAGAGCTGTGTATCACTATATATTAAGAAGAAAAGGGGTATAAAGTCCCAAAACCCAAACAACAACACACCACACCTCACTCAAATAAACACTACTCGCCTACTACAGCAAAAATTTTTGCCTCGACCGAGAAAGAGCCCTAGTTTGCACTTGGGACTAGAGCAAGGAGATGGAAAATTCCTATAGCCCCAGCCAGACTCCATAAAATGGGAAATTCCTCTAGCCCCAGCCGGACTCCATAAATGTAACTCCTCTGTAATGAACCGCATAACATCATTCAGGTTGCGGGGTATCCCATCAAACACACAGTGATTGCGGTGATTCTAGATTGACCAAGCCCCCATAATGTCGCAGATTATCAAAGGTGAAACTGTGAGATGTTGCATAAGGGTACATGCCAGTTTATCCCAAGTGGAACTACTACCTGTTGTGATGGTGCATCACGAACAAATGACACTTAGCTTGGTATAGGAATTAAGAAGCCTTCACGGAAAACATATTTATTGAAGTTGTGAATTAAATTTATTGATTTTCTAACTGAAAAGGGTATATGCCATCTGTTTAAATTTCTGCAGAAATTTTCCATGATTGGGTAGGTCAGGACACATTTCCTTATGGGTAAGTTTGTTTCCTTCCAACAGTTAGATAAAAATGAAGACAAGATATAGTTTAAATCCTATCTGGTTAATCATGGTAAGAAACAAGCAAATTTGACACCGAGTTTAGTGTTCCCTTGTCTTGTGTTCCAATGTAAATTTTCCATAGTAACTTCACTGGTCAAGTTAGTTACACCACTCAGCAGTTTACAGATGGAATCATGCACCAAGGATGACTTTGGACACATGAAGTATGTGGCGACGGTGTTTGCCCCTTTGTACAGTTCAGGTCAGTAGACTAATACTTCATTTAGCATCATTTACTGTTGAACCAGTTAGTAGGCAAAGATTGTCAAGAGAAATTTAAGCCTGAAGATAGTCAACTAGGGACTATGAAATTATGAAATGGTTTACTAGGTCAGGCGAGACTGCACTATGGACCGTGAGAAAGATAACAGATATGTGGCACATTTCCATATATAGATTCGCATTTCCTGGAACCTGCAGTAAGCAGCACCATAATATTTAAAAGATTCCAATAAGAGAGGACAGGGCATAACCACAGCACAGGAACGAGCAGTGAGCTGAACAAATCAATTGAATCTAGACATAACATCACTATCACGATCATCTAGAAAGGTAACATCACAGTCACTAATTTGTCACAGAAAAGAAACACCCTTAGCAATAATTAGGGATTGAACTAAAATGCAACCTTTTTTTCTGCCGCTGTTTGACAGCATCAACGCTGATAACATGGCAGTTTTCAGCGACACAAGGTTCACAATGAGCCTCCATGTATTTCGTTGACTACCTATATATTATCCCAGGTTGGAAAAGCATACAAGTAGGTATTTCTTTGACTACCCAGCTGTCAACAGCTTGAGCCTTCATTCACAAGTTAGCAACTCTTTTGGCTTTGAGACTTCAGCAACACTACTCGCAGCTCAATTTCCCTTGTCCTCAAATAATTGCAGAAGACAGAGATGTTGGATCCCCTGGAAGTTATCTGTTCAGTGGTTGCAGGAGAGATTTTACAAAAAATCATCTCCCCCGTGATAGAGAAGTACAAAAACCAGAAGGACATCGAAGAAAAGTTGCTGCAGCTGCGACAGCTCCTCATCACAATCCATGCCGCCCTGGAGGCAGCCGAAGGGCAGGCCACTACTAACTCATGGCTGCTCTGCTGGATTCGTAAGCTTGAGGATGCAGCATGTGAAGGAGGGCGGGTGCTGTGTGACTGGAGATACCGCACTGCCAAGGTGAATTCTGCCCTTGTCAATTCCAGCAACACTTTCAAACGTATCAAGGTTGCTACTGGACTGTTTCTGTCATGCAAGGAAGCAACCATTAGCATAGATGCCACTGTTAAGAAGGTCGAAATAGTTGCTGCAGGCACTATCAAGTTCATTGAGCTTCTCAAATTTCAGTGCAACCAGGCTGTGGTGCATCGACCGATCATCATGTATATGCCCATGCATGACAGGGTCATCGACCGAATCAAAGAGAGGAAGTGCGCCATTGACTTCTTGCTGAAACCAGCTGCATACCAGATCTGTAGTACCTATGTAAAAAGGTTTGGTCATAGATCAAGAGCCATATCATCAATTCCATATGGTTATGTGCTGCTCATATGTGGAAGAAAAGGGGTAGGTAAAACCACTCTTGCACAGCTTGTCTGCAAGAATGAAATAATGAAGAGCCATTTCTCAATGGTAATATGGGTGTGTTGCAGAGAAAACCCTAGTCTAGAATTAGCAATATTGAGGTCATTGTGCAAGAAGCTGGAGTTCACTGGTTGTATTGATAGGGATATTTCACATACGGTATACAGGATAGCAGGAAGGCTAAGAACTTAAGAGATTTCTACTGGTTCTTGATGGTGTTTCTAGCTACCCCCATGCAGTGGATGACATACTCATAATATTATTGGGGAGTAGCAGGGCAGGAAGCAAGGTCATCATTACCACCATATATGAACACTTGGCAAAAACGATGGATGGGTGTAATATTCTTCCTGTAGAACTCTTGCCAATGGAAGACCTTGGCTACCTGTTCATGGAAAATGCATTAGGCGGTGAACATCCTGAAGAATACCGGATGTTACTAGTTATTGGGAAAGAGATTGCTGAGACCTTAAAAGGATGCAGTCCTTTGGCAACAAAAGTTGTGAGCGGACTACTACCTCAATGAGAAGTACTGGAGCACTGTCTTGAGACACTGTCAGCAATTAGTTGCACCTCGTTCCAAGTTAAAACCTTTCATTCTAGGTTGCAAGCTTCTGCCTCACCACCTACAAAGTTGCTTTGGAATATTTGGTACATACCCACGCTGGAAATTCACATGTGAGTACTTGATAAGCCTGTGGGTGCGCAATGGTCCCATCAGCGACAAGGGTAGAACAACCAGCATAGAGAATGTTGCAGCAGAATGCTTTGATGATCTATTGAGGAAAGCATTCATACAACCAAACCAAGTTTCAGGGTTATACGATGTCAATGATATGTTAAGAGACATAGCCTTGTGCATAGGTCCAGTGCCTCTTCCAAAAACAAGAAGCAAGAGCAGGAACAAAAATTATCAAACTAGCAGGCTTATAGATCAGAGTCTAGTTGAAGTCAAGCTATGACATGCTATTTGTTTTGTCTGCCATTGACACTTGTTGGTTTATTGTTAAAGACTCGACTGGTGGGGCGTCCCCTAATTTTGCCCTTAATGTACAACGGCGTTGTACGTGCCCTAAGAAGTTTGAGCCAGCCTTCGAACTTGGACTGGTGACAGGGGTTTCTCGACCCCCGGACTTCAACAGTCTAACCAGTGTAACTCAGGAGAAGTTGGCTTCTTGGTTTATACTCCCTCCGTTCCAAATTATAATTCATTTGACTTTTTTGACCCCAAGTTTGACCACTCGTTTTATTCAAAAAATTTGTGCAAACATAGCCAAATTTAAGTTATTCTCGAAGAACTTTTGTTAATAAAGCAAGCCACAACAAAAGAATTGATATTTTGCACAAATTTTTGAATAAGATGATTGGTCAAACTTGGGATAAAAAAGTCAAACGAATTATAATTTTTAACGGATTTAGTAGTTATCTGTTGCCTTTACAGTTGTTGGTTTTATTGCACTGGGCACTAGGCTCCTAACCTAATCTCCAGTTGGATCTGTTTTCTTGGATGAATATACAAGGAAAAGCATCATTCGTGTGGTGGTGGAATGTGAGTATGTGACCAGGATTCAAAGTTTGGTGATCATCTATTTTAGATATTTATTACTCCCTCTGTCCTAAAATATAAGATGGATAATATTCCGAGTTTGTTCTAAGTCAATCTAAATTTGACCATATTTATAGAAAAAAAGAATAATATTTATGACATCAAATGCATCATTGGAAAATATATTTTCATAATTTACATATTTGATGGTCGATGTTAAAGTTAATACTCTTCTCTATAAACTTGGTCAAGCTTAGCATAGTTTGATTTAGAACAAACTTCGATCCCCTGTATTTTAGGACGGAGGGAGTAGTTTGTCTTTGTTCATTCCTGCTCATGCAGAGATCAGAAGTCACTTATGGAACACAAACGTTCAAAATGTTTAAACTTTTGGCTATGGATAATTTTATGTCTCCAAGAAGATTCATATTTGCAAAACAAAACAATGTTTGTGTATTTGTCACCAAAAGTTCATTAATAATACTACAGTTATACTAGGTTTATAATTAATGTAGAATTATCTTTCAAAAAAATAATTAATGTGGAATTTATTGGTCAAAGTCACCTTTTTGGAGACCATGCCATTTCTACAATGACTCTCATTTGTGATGGATAGAGCAATCATTCAGCAGCCATTTGCGGTTGACATTCCTAACTGAAGGAAAGGACATACCATGGGATGCAAAAAAGAAAAACTTACAAGTTTGTTTGACACAATGCCCCTATTGGAGTGATTTGTCGATTCCAATGCTTCTAAACAGTATACTGCTAATTTAGTAGTCTCATCTTCATGAATAATCAACTTACATGATCCGCATCAAGTGGAGAAAAATATCCAAAGTAACATGAGAAAATAATTTGAGGATGCACCAAAGTATGTATTGCTATTAACTCCATAGACACTACTACGAGCATATCAAAAAATCACATAGGCGACTGAATACACAGGAGCAACATTATTGGGCACTTTTTAAATTTCGCAGATATATAACAATATAAAGATATAAAGAATATATAAAGACCAAATCCAGTTTCTTTTTTCTTTTTTCGTTCCTTTCATAAAAATGTAAATCACTTTTGCCATGCTGCAGCATTCTGGCACCTAAGTTATGATATCTCCAAAGAAACGTTATAAAAAAATGCAGTACAGAGTTGCATAAATGCCAAAGCATTATTTAACTTACATTGGCATTGAAGATTAGATAGGACACTCCCACTGATCCACAGTTCAGTCCAGCCCCACCACCTGAGGTGAGCACAATAAATCAACACCCACGAAGCAATGTACTCTTAACTAAACAAAAAAAACAATAAAAACAATGCAGTAGCCACTAGCCACAAATAGGAACAGCATTCCTTTTGTAGAGAAACAAAATCACCAGTTGGTTCAACACATGAATTAACCATTTGCAAATGGCACATCACGAATAGTTACAACAAATAGCCTAGTCAAGGAGGCATGAATATTAAATGATGTTCGAGAAAAAAAGTAGGTATAAATGGTATCCTTAATCTCCCATATCAACACGATAGGACCGCAGAAGCAAAACAGCGTGTAGTTTCTACTTGTTAAGTGCATGAAGACTCACCTACTACAGGCCCAATCTCCACTAAGGGAGACTTCTTCAACTTCTGTTATTTCATAAGGTTAGTAACACTACTAAGTCTTGCTGCAAAAAATCAAAAATTAACTTCTCTGTGTAGCTCCATTGCAACTCCAATAACTAACTCTGCAGCAATAAATCCAACAAGCAATGAACAAAGTAACTTCTGATAAAAATGTGACATCTATAGGAACTAGATCTAAGCATCAGAGGTCCCCAACTCTAGCCAACTGTATGTTGAAGCAAACCATCAGTCAGAATGGAAATATTAGTTGAGTCACTATCGACGAGTCAATGACAATTTTGTGCTAGTCTAGCTCAACAAAACCATCATAATCATAAACTAATGAAAGCTGAGACAGAAATCTACAATTTGTGATGTATGCTCCCTGGTTTCCATCTATTATAGTATAATAAGAAAACAATTATTCACTATGTTAACTGGCCGGAGCTCCAATAAACTAATTATCACTAGACATCTCACATGTCATCCTCGCGATATGATGGAATAATAGTATGAATCCTGAAATCATACTTGCAACCAGAATCCATTTTGTCCACACGAGAAATCAATCAATAATAACTCTATTTCTGATGGAATGTCAGAATGTGATACGCGGCACAACTCAGCTTCCTACCCATGGTTTTGGACAAACTTCTGTAGAAGGGATGAAGGGAAGGGTGGCAACTGGCAACGGGATCCGATATCCCACAAGTAAAGCTCAGTGGATTTATGGAGGTGGCGGCCCTGGCGGGTATCTGACCATTCTGACGATGGCCGCGACATGTGACTTTGTGAGGGAGCGAAATTGGGAGAGGAAAGGGATCAACAGAGATTAGTAAAGACCTCTTAGGGGCTTAGGGTGCTGACATTCCTCGCAACCTTGCAGTTCACCGGCGGCGGCGGCACCGCCGCTACGGCCCGCCGAACAACGGGAACAACCAAAGGGTTGAAGACTTCTTTCAGAAACGCACCCCCAAAAAGAGCAGCTACAGTATTTCTGAAGCCTTGAGGATCCATGTGTAAAAGTAGTATTTCTCAATTCCCTACCTGTGAAAGTATCAATACATGGGGGCCTGACCGCCTGAGGCCTGTCACTGTGGGAAGCGCTAGCACGCGCACACCATTCCACGGCGGCGTGCGCTCGTACGGAGAGGGACGTAACCTGCACATGACCTGTTCGATGGAATGCCGCAGCATTTTGGAGACCATGCTGCGCGCCAATGCCGCGCTCTGCGTGCTCGCGCCGGCCGTCCGCGGGCTGCGCGGTGCCCACCGCCGCAGCATTCACTTCGCGCCAGGCCCGTCCTCGTCCGACGAGGACGATGTGCGAGACCGCGCCCCGCCTCCGCGGCGCTGGTACCGGGCAGCATACGCCCGGCTCCTCCGGCATGCGGGGTCACTGGCGGGGGTCGACCACGCGGGCGGCCTTCCGCGGCACGGGGCGACGGGGTCCCTCGTCGCATGCCCGCACGCCGCCGCCCGGGCCGCGCACTTTGACGCGCTCGCGGGTGAGTTCGTCGCCGCCGCGGCCGCCGCGAGGCGCGGCCACCCGCCGCCGAAGATGGAGGCGACGTCGCTGAGCTCGCTGACGCAGGTCTGCGACGTGCTCGGCGTAACGGCGCAGCGGAGGAAGAGCGTACGGCTCACCGTCTGCCCGCAGGTGACGCAGCACCACGTCTGGCGGGGCGCGCTCGAGGCGGTGCTCGGGGATCTCCAGGCCGACATGGCGTCCCTGGACACCCCGTCCCCGGCGACCCAGATGGCCGAGCAGATCGCGTCCGCCTGCACCCGCTTCCTGTCGGAGACAGCGACGTCCTCGTCGCCGTCCTGGATGCGCCCGACACCGTTTAAGAAACCAGCAGAACCGCCGCCTCCGGCCAAGAAGTGGCAAGAAGTGCTGCACATGTTTACTGACCTCGCCAGGAGCCTGGAGACCGAGGATCGACTCACCGGGCACGCGCAGAAGGTGAAGGCCATGAAGGAGGGGTTGTACCAGATACGGGATGTCGTCATTGAGCGGGACATCGCCTTCAAGGAGGCGCGCCGGCAGGACTGCCTGGTGCAGTGGAAGCTGTCCAAGAGCCTGGGCCATTCCTCCAGGTGCCTGTACACGCTGCTCCTCTTCTACCTCTATGGCACCGTCCGGGACATGGAGGTGCATGTCGGCAAGTGCATTTCTGGCAAGGGAGGCAGGAATGTTGCCGTTCACGCCACGCAATTCCTGACCGACAGCGATGAAACGACGATCAGGAGCGGCATCAAGCAGCTGAGCCGCGCTCTCGGTACCTTCCGGTTTGTCTGGGAGGCCGCGAATACTGACTTTGATGCTGCCAATCACAATGGCAAAGATGTTGTGATCAAGAAAAAGAATG